TTATTTATTTGACAGAGAGAGAGACAGCGAGAGCAGGAACACAAGCAGGGGGAGTGGGAGAGGGAGAAGCAGGCTTCCCGCCGAGCAGGGAGCCCGATGTGGGACTCGATCCCAGGACCCTGGGATCATGACCTGAGCCGAAGGCAGCCGCTTAACGACTGAGCCACCCAGGCGCCCTCCAAGTGTAGTTCTATATTACAAGTAATTAATGCCCTGCATTGCCTTTTGGCCTCGAAGACAGTTTATTCTACCATCTCTAGCACCAGTCACTGTCATTGAACCCATAGTATTTGCATTTTTAGATCTTGGTATCTTTTCAGCTAAAAGGGTAGCTGGCTAACTCTTCAAGTCCAGGGAATTGGAAGTCTGTATTTGACCAGGCGTGGAGGCAGTAAACAAAGTATGGAGAATGGAACTTATCTTGGCTATTTAGCCGAACACCTGGTACTCTTAATTAGTCAGGCAACATTATTTCAGAAGCCACTATGTCAACAGAAAGCATCAAAGGAAATTGAAACATTGGAAGAGACCCTAGGAGGAGAAAAATGAACCAAATGGAAATGGAATAAATATGAATAAGGGCAAAAGGATCACAGATATGAAAAGAATAGTCCCTAATGAAGAGGAAAAAAAGATAATAGTTAAGAAAAATAAATTTATTTGAAATGTAATAAAATACATAAATATAAAAGTGTATTATGATGGTTGGTTTAATGAAGAGACTAAATATGCAGTCAGTTAGATTGATTACTTTAAAATATCACAGTCATAAATATTAGAGCATATCTTGATTGAACAATTTCGATAATTACAAAAATGTATCTTAGGTTTTGCTATTATTTAATTTGACTGAAATTTTAGTGAGTGAAAAATATGTAGTCTTTTTTTCAAAGCTTCACTGATTAACAATTGACATAGATAAAATATACATACTTGACATGTATAATTTGATAAAGTTTGACATACATATTAAACTATGAAATCATTACCAAAATCAAAACAGTGTACAATAGATGTAGATATTTTGACATTTATTTTTAATGTACATTTTGGGGGGGGGGTTGTGTTTGTTTTTTTAACCAAATATTTGCTATTTCATTTTGTATTGCCCTTAGAGGAAAATGTAATATGAAGAATCATGATAAAGTAATGTAGTGTAACAGCAAATCACTATCCTCTAGAAGAAACATTATTAATAAAAATGCTGTTAATGCATTTTGTGGAAACATAATTTATAAGTGCATATAATATACTAATTTTAAAAACCAGTGCTTTATAATATCCATGGACATGGACAAAATGAATGCAGTCTTCATGGTTAATCATCTTTAACTAATAGTCTATGTAGCTAGAGAAGTCCCTTTTATTTTGAACCTAACTTCCTTCACAGAAAATGAAAGAAGTGAAAACAGGTTATTACATGAGAGTAACCTTCCACATCTTTGGGAAAAAAATGTTATAAAATTAAATCTCCATAATATATACAGTCTTGTATCTGGCTTAAGGACACTTATTCCACCATGTAAGAGTGAATTTGAAAACAATGGAGAAAATTCTATTTCCCAAATACTTCACCTCTGCCTTCGCTGATGCCATTTGTTCCACATTTAGTGCCTTCCAGACCTTATTGCTCTTTGTTTTTAAGATTCTAGCTATCCTTCAAAACATTACAACTACATCATCTTTAAAAAGTCCTTTTCTATTTATTAAAAAATTTAGTGTTTTCCTTCTTAATACCCTCTTAATATTTTGATAGCAGAGCAAAGCAGTCTTGACATTAATCCTTAATCTATACACTGTTGAAGACTTTCTATGAGGACTTTGCTAAATTCTGAACATATAAACTCAGTCTCTCCTCCCATTGTGATTACATTTTAGTGAGGATCAGTGCAGATAATTTTACCAACAATATCTTTGTAACATAATCAGTAGTATCATAATGAAAATGCTGGATGCTACAGGAATTAAATGTATGGACATTTAACCTAGATATCAAGATTGATTTTCCATCACCCAGAGATTAAGAATTCCTCATTATCAGTGAGATCATATGATACATGTCTTTCTCTGATTGACTTATTTCACTCAGCATAATACCCTCCAGTTCCATCCATGTCGTTGCAAATGGCAAGATTTCATTCCTTTTGATGGCTGCATAATATTCCATTGTATATATATACCACATCTTCTTTATCCATTCATCTGTTGCCTGGTGATGGGCATTAAAGAGGGCACGTATTGAATGGAGCGCTGGGTGTTATACGCAAACAATGAATTGTAGAACACTACATCAAAAACTAATGATGTAATGTATGGTGATTAACATAACATAATAATAAAAAAAATTAAGCAGGTCATTTACAAGGAAAGTGAGGTGGATGTGGATGGAACATAATCTTCACATGGAAGAAGATGACACATTAGGCTGACATTCACATGACTGAAACTTGCTCTGAGAAGAAATGTTAAATGTTCTCACACACACACAAAAAAGTAACTGTAAAGAAATGATGTGCTAATGAACTCAATGGTAGAAATCATATATCTCAAATCATCACATTGTACACTTTAAATATATACTTTTATTTTATTTGGCAACTGTATTTTAGTAAAGTTGAAAAAGATTAAATTCTCCTAAATTCATTGTCCTATAAGTAGCTTTTGCATAATATAGAATATCTATCATCTATCTATCTACCATCTATTTATCATCTATCTCTGTATCGTTAAGTATATTTTATGTCTTAAAATTAAATAAATTTAAGGTTCCTCTATTTATTTTCATGGCTTAAGAGGTTCTAGTACCAAATAATATTCCATTGTCTGGATATATCACAGTTTATTTACCCAAGCACCTGCTAAAGGACGTCTTGGTTACCTCCAAGTTTTGGCAATTATGAATAAGACTGTGGTAACTATCTATGTAAAGGGTTTTTAAGGACATATGTTCCTAAAAAGTTCCATAAGCTCCATAAGTTCAACTCTTTTGCATGAGTACCAGGGAGTATGATTGCTGGATCATATGATTTAAAAAAAAATTCCTTTGATATGTCCTCTTTGACCCATGGACTTTTTAGAAGTATATTGTTCAATTTCCAATTATATGAGAATTCCCAGCTATATTTCTGTTATTGATTTTTAGTTTAATTGTTTCATGGTCTACAAACATACTTTGCATAATTTCCAGTTTTTATATTTGCTAAGGTTTGTTTTATGGCCTAGATTGTGGTATATCTTGGTGATGATGCATGTTTACTTGAGAATAATATGTATTCTACTACTGGATGTAGAATCAAGTAGTTCAAGTATCAAGTATCAAGTAGTTCAAGTTTATTGATGGTACTATTCAGATCATCTATATCCTTACTGATATTCTGCCCCCTTAATGTATCAATTATTGAGGGGTGACATTGATGTCTTTAATCATTTGCCTATTTCTCTTTCCAGTTCTGACAGTTTTTGCCTCATGTGCTGTGACACAGACAAAAAACGAAAGTTAGGTACCTACAGCTTTAAGAACATTACATCTTCTTGGAAAATTAACCTCTTTACCATTAAATAATATTCTTGTTTATTTCTGATATTCTTCTATTTTATTAGCCTCCTTTTTCTGAAGTCAGTAAAACTACACGTTTCTCTTTGATTAATGCTTACATTGTATATCTTTCTCTATTCTGCAAATATTAACTTGAGTCTATATTTCAAGTGGCTGTCTTCTGACCAAACTTTGGTTGGTTCTTGTTTTTTTTTTAAACCAATCTATAATCTCTGACTTTTAACTTGTTTAGAACATTCACATTTAAACTGAAGTTATTGATATATGTAAATTAAAATTCACCATTTAGTTAATATTGTCTATGTTCCTTGTTTATTTTACTTCCTTTTTCTGACTTATTTTAATTGGGCATTTTATAAGGTTAATTTTCTCTCCTACCTTTATGTATCATTTACTTTTCTCCGTTCATTTTTTTCAGTAATCATAATCAATTTTAAAACGTATATTGTAACATAGTCTAAGTTAACCTTCAGATGTAGTGCAGGTATCTTCTAATAGATTATTTAATTTTTTTCTTCCCATTTTTTGTGACATTGTTGTTATTCTTCTTACTTTTTCAATGCTATATGCACTCTTTTGTGCCAGTCTCAACCCATCAATAGTGATGCTATTGGCTAGTAATGCCTGGGGGCACTCATCTGGGCCCCAAGTGAACCCCTACAGACATTTCCACTTTGGGAGCCAGTGTTGTGGCTGGATAGATGCTTGTGGTTCTTATTTTGATTGCAGGATAAACCTCAGCAGCAATCATCAGGGAATTTTGAAAACAAAACAAAACAAAACAAAACAAGGTTTATTACTCACAGCTTCTATTTTTTAAATTATTCAAGTATCAGGTGATTGGAAAGAAATGCTTTTATTAATGTACGTGAATGGCAATTACCTGCTAGTATTTTCTTTCATTATCTTTCTCTTCCTCTTTATAGTGGATTTTCTTATTAGAAACTGTATATCAATTGTGAAGCTGAAGAAAGGAAACCTTATTTAAAATGGAGGGCATGCTGTCTTGCCCTACCATGTATGACAATTGCAGATTCCAACAGGAAGGGACATACCTTACATTGCTAACAGGAAGAAACCTACTTTACTGTAGTGGGATTAAGGAAGAATTTCTCTTCTCCTGGCCTTGGAAGAGATCAGGATATATGTGTTTCAGTTCTCCCTCCTTGCTGTTTGACTTTGAGATTTTGTTTAACCTTAAATTATGTGGACCTTGGTGTCTTTAACTAAGAAATTAGGGAAGCATCTTTAACCATAAAATTGTATGAATCTGTAGTTTTATAAAGCAATTAACAACGCTGTTAAAACTCATGATAGTCTTATTTTCGTGTAGAAGGAAATTTCTCAGTGTTTTAGACCACTTAATCTCAAGTATTAATTCACAAACACTATCCTATTTTGGTGAAATTGACACTTTATGATTTAATGGACTCCCGTCCCATTTAAGAATTAGCAATATAGTAACCTTTTTTTCTGTCTCAAATGGCTGTGATATTTGTTAACAGGTAAACGTGTTGCCTTACATCTTGAGTAGACAGAATTGCATTATTAAAAGGGATGCCACTGTGTTTCATTCCTAAATTATTCCATATTCCTCTCCTACACTTGATCTTAGCCAAAAGGCCGAGAAGCGATCCATATTCCTCTCCTAAGACGTGACTAGTTAGAGATAAATCCCTTCTTTCACAATTGCTCCATTTCAGACACTCTTGCACAACTTGAATTTTATATGAGTCAAAAACAAATAAAAAGGCGTTTAGACATGTGCTTTTTGTGTGTAATAAACAAGCTGTGCTTCCAACTTGCAATCTCCCATTACCTCATAAACCTAATTTACATAGACTTCAATCCTAGTTAGGCTATTTTCTTTTTAAAAACGAGGTTCTAACAGTCACTTTCCTCAAACAATCCTGTTTCATCCATATGTAAACTTTTATGGCATACAGCTCTGTTAACAATATATTTTTTAAGCCACTTCGGTTTACTTTGTTGCTGTTTTACATAAACAATTGCAATGAATATTGCCACCAGTCTTCAGGATTATCAATCACAAAAATTTATGTTAAGATGACTCTGCTTTCTTGCATCATCAGACATTTTTATTCTTATGCTTCATTAATATTGTCAATGCATTCTGAAGCATCTAGAATCTGTATGTATACACAAACAACAGTTGCCTGAAAGCAAAATGTTTCTTAATTATAGCTGCTGCTAAAGTCCAACTCCTATTTTTTGCCTAGGAAGGCTTACCCTCACACTAGACAACTTTTTTTTTTTACTAAAAATATATTTCTTTATATATATATATGTGTGTATATATATATAATATGTGTATACATACAAAATATGTGTATGTATACTTTATTTTTTACATATATTATATTTTATGCATCATATATATGTACTTATATGTATAAAAATAATGTATGTACTTTACTTTTAAGAGCAGTTTTAAGTTCATGGCAAAATTGAGGAGAAGATACAAAACATTTCCCATATACCTCCTATCTGCACACAATGCACAGCCTCCCTCATTACCAACATTCCTCATCAGTGGTACATTTGTTAAAACTGATGAACCTATGTTGACAAATGATAATCATTCAAAATCCATAGTTTACCTTGAGGTCACTCTTGGTGTTGTACACTCTATACTATTATTTGATTGGCTTTCATTTTTTATAATTTCCTAGTAACCTAGATTTTATATGCAAAGACTTCATAAAATGTGTTATCACCTAAAAATTATCTGTCAAAACTGAGAAGATTAAGTAGATTTAACCTATTGAGAAAGAAAATAGTGATATATGGATAAACCTTAATTTGTACCTTTAAGTATAAAAATGTCTCTGTTTCTACTGAATATACCTGAATCTTGCTTTTTAATCCAAATTTACAATCTCTGAACTTGATTATAGTGATTAGTCCACTTATACTTGATTTAATTGCTCATATGATTGGGTTTACAACTACCATGTATATATGTTTTTGCCATTTATTTTTGGTAAGTCTCTTATCTTTGTTGCTTCTTCATTTTTCCATTACCAACTCCTTTCAAGTAAAACAAATTCTTTCTAGTATATCGTTTTAATTCCTCTGTTGATATTATATTCCTTCTAGGATTTACAATATGTATCTTAATACGTTATGATCTACTTCACATTAATACTGACTTAATTCTAATATACTACTACAGCTTTGCTCTACTATTGCTCCATATTCAGTTTCCTCTTTCATTCTCTACAGAGAAAGACAAATACTTTATAATATCCCATATCTGTGGAATCTAAATACATTTATAATATGCATTTAATATAGATAATAAATATATGCATATATACAAGCTCATAGATGTAGAAAACTGGTGGTCATCAGGGGCAGGGGTGGGGGGTGGGAAAGATGGGTGAACTGTTTTTGTTTTTTTTAGTTTAAATAAGTTGAATTTAAAAATCACATCTATATATGTTATAAAGCCAAAAACAAGAGTATTATAATCATTGCTTTATGTAATCTTATGTCTTTTAGTAAAATTAAGAGAAGAAACATATATATAAATATATTCTATATTTTCTGACATATTTACCATTCCAGTGCTTTTTATTTCCTCTTGTGGATTTGAGTTAGTTGATCATTCTAACTAGGGATTTATCAATTTCATTGATCTTTTAAAAGATGATACATTATATGTTACAAAAAAGAAGATAGCAGGAAGGGAAGAATGAAGGGGGGAATCCGAGGGGAAGACGAACCATGAGAGACTATGGACTCTGAGAAACAAACTGAGGGTTCTAGAGGGTAGAGGGGTGGGGGGATGGGTTAGCCTGGTAATGGGTATTAAAGAGGGCATGTACTGCATGGAGCACTGGGTGTTATACAAAAACAATGAATCATGGAACACTACATCAAAAACTAATGATGTAATGTATGGTGATTAACATACATAAAAAAAAAAAGAACCAGTTCTCCTTTTACCTGATTATTTCCTATTATTTCTGCTTTCTATTTCATCTTTTCTGCTTTTTTTTTTTTTAATTATATCCTCTCTTCTGCTTGCTTTGGGTTTAATTTTCTCTCTTTTTTTTTATCATTGCTTAACATGAACAATAATTGATTTGAGACCATATTTCTAATACAAGTATTTAATGTTATAAAATCCCTTCAAGCACTGGATTACCTATGCCCCACATTGCAATATGAAAATTGTCATTTTCATTCAATTAAAAATATTTTCTAATTTCCCTTATGAATCTCCATTTAACTCATAAGTTATTTAAAAGTATTTGTTTAATTTCCAAATATTTAGCATTTTCCAGATACCTTTCTGTTGTTGATTTCCATATAAACTTTCCATTGTGGTAAGAAAATACTTTGACTTCAATTCTTTCAAATTTATTGATGTTTATTTGATGGCCCAGAAAATATTCTATTTTGGTAAATATTCCCAAAGTGGTTTTTTGGGATTTTTTTAGTGTACATTTTGTTTTTGTTTCTTGGGGGGATTTATAAATGTAAACTAGATCAGCTTCTATTTATCAGGTCTTCTGTTTACTGTTTTAATTTCACAGAGAGGAGTATTAATATGTCCAACTCTAACTGTGGATTTTTCTATTTATTTTTTTAGTCTTTTCTCTTAACTGACCGCTTTATTTCTGGCCATATTCCTTATTTTGAATTTTATGTTTTCTGGTACTAATATTGTGACTCCGTCTTTCTTTGCCTGCTGTTATTTATAGTTTTAAAGAGTAGTGTTAAATTACTTTTTAACACAGTAAATCTAATTCTTCTTTCCATTCCTCTATTCTTCCAATTCTGTATTTTAATTTTATGTTATTAAACACAACTTATTTTTACTGTTTTCTCTTTAGAGAGTCAAATTTCTCTTAAAGCAAGTCTAAATAAGAAAAAAAAAAACCCCACATATTTATTATCATTTTTACCATTTCCAGAGATCTTTATTTATTGGGCAAATCCAGATTTCTATCTGGTGTCATATTGATTCAAGTACCTTTCACTCAGATCTTTAAAGCAGTTTTACAGATCATCTACTTGTCTGACTTGGATACCTAGCCTTTTGCATCATTTATCTTGTGTGAAAACTCATTAACATTGCCCCTAAATTATTTGTGTAATCCCAAGGTATATAATTAAAAAACAATGTGAATGGATCTTAGTTCAGGATGCCAGAGACTTTTTTCAGACCAAGAGTGTCAGAAGGTTAATGTTTCAATTTCTAAGGAGATATTGACTTTGAAACAGAAACAGAACACAAAACAATATCTTCTGAATATTGAAGAGTGGATGATGTTATCTCCTTTTTATAGATAAGGAAACTGAGTTCAGAGAGGTTAATCAAGTCACCTAAGATAATACAGCTACAAAGAGGTAGATTTTACATTCCAATCTAGATGCGTTTATTAAACATTGTTTTCACTATCCCACACAAATTTTAAAGAGTTTGAAAATTCATATTTAGCAGGTATATTTAAATTCTATGAAACTCTAAACTACCCGAAATACCTGGAAAGGCAAATTTATAATTAGGTGAATAACATAAACACATTCCTATGTTTACCGCTTGGCCAAAGATTAGTCATAGGCAATAACCAGCTGAAAAGCAGGAAAACGATATTAAAGATTAATAGGGTGTATCTAGAAAAGTGATTCTCAAGGGAACAGTAGAGATTTGAGAACCTCCTCAGCATATTTATTCAGAATAAATATGCCTTGCCACCTTATGTGTATTAGGCATATTGATCAATTGGTCAGTAGAAAAAGAAACACATCTTTGCTTGCAGTTGTGATCGAGACAACAATTATAGTTAGATAAAAACAACTTTCAAAGTAATTTTTATATTCTGCACCAGGGAACACTGAGTGTACACTCTTTAAAAGTTGAGAATCCTGGCCTAGAGAAAATATGTCTGTGGAGAAAATATCTAGGTTAGAATATACAGAACATTAATGAGTACATTATTCTTTATTACAGTTCTCTCTTAGAAGACCCTGGATATAGTTAAAATAGCTTTATACACTTTTCCCTAATTCTAAGTGTGAATAGAATATATTTTTTGAATGCTTTGTAGAGAAGAATGGAATTAAGTTTTCAGCTGTACCCCCCAAAAGATTAATTCTAGGACCATATGGAAATTTGGATAATGTAAGCTCATTATTGTACTTGCCAAACTAGTCACTATCATGAGGTACCCTTCCTCCGATAAGTACATGAGCCAAACAGAGCTGATTACTCACATTTTATCCCTAATTTCAACTTGTAAGTATATGAGAAATCTATTATATATCTTCCATTGTTGCAATTGTTAAAAGTTAAATCTGCTGTAATTTTCTGAAATACATATATTCTGAGTTTATATATTCTGTGTTTCTGGTCCTTTACAAAACAGGTTTAATGTCCAGTGAGAAGACAAAATATAAAAAAAAAAAAAAAAAGAAGAAGGAAGGAAGAAAGGAAGGAGGGAGGGAGGGAAGGAAGGAAGGAAGAAAGAAAGAAAATGGCATTTAAACAGAAGGAAGCATGGAGATTGCTATTTTTATCATGTACACATGACATATCTCCAAGAAAGAAAATAAAAACCATGCCTTACATCTTGTTTAAATGCATAAATGTTCTATAGAAG